GTGTGTGTGTGGGTGTGTGTGTGTGTTTGTTTGTGTATGTGTGGTTGGTTGGTCGTGTTTGTATTTTTTTGTTGTTGTTTTTGTATACATTTTCATTATATACAATTATATTTAGAAGGTATATCTATTTATATGCATGCAGACAGTGTAAGCACATGTGTATATATATATATAAATGTGTGTGTATGTAGGGCATGTCGCTTCTCCTCTACGACACGAGCTGTATTCAGACTTATGCTGCAGGGTCCATGAAACTAGATCAAGTTAATCTGAGCAGTGTACCAGCAAATGGGGGTATATTCGTATACATACATCCGTCTGTGTAGTCATACCTTCTAATCAGCCTTCCCTGTGCAGCTGTGTAGCAGCCACTAATTGTACATGAATACCCGCACATACATACATCTTCTTATATATTTTAAATATAATATAATATATATATATATGTCTATGTCTATATATATATGTGTGTGTGTATAGATATGTATCTATATCTATATCTATACGTATATGCATGTATATATATATGTAACTCGTATCAAATGGTGGCTCACAAAAGCTACTTTATGCCATGCTCTACACTACACCCAGGTCGTGGATAGCCCTGAAGTGCATGAGGTGTCTCTTAAACACCCCATCTACGGCAAATTCATGCGCTCGTTCTACCAGTGCAACTACCAAGAGTTCTTCCAGTCGCTAGGTGTGTATTGTATTTTCTCATTTGTCCATAGCTTGCGGCGTTTAGTGCCAGTTGCTGTCATAGCATAGGCTAGTTTTAACGTTTTAACTCTAGGAATGTATTGTACATGCTATGTGTTGTATTTTCTCATTTGTTTATAGCTTGTGATGTTTAATGCCATTTGCTGTCATAACGGTCTAGTTTTAACGTTTTAACTCTAGGAATGTATTGTACATGCTATGTTGTATTTTCTCATTTGTTTATAGCTTGTGATGTTTAATGCCAGTTGCTGTCATAGCATTGGCTAGTTTTAACGTTTTTAACTCTAAGAATGTATTGTACATGCCTTCTATCCTGTTAACAGTGTTGGCTTTGTTCTGAGTCGCTCCAACTGCATTTATATATCCAACTGCTGTCATACCATATCATATCATATCATACACTTGCTGTCTGCTTTTACTGTCCGTTCAACGGATGTATTCTCTCTGCAGGTTGTTGTCTGTTTTTTTCTTTTGTGTTTCAATCCAATTGCGATCGTACCCTACGCTCGATTTTAACGTCTTTGTACTTCACTTCCCGTCGGAATGGACACAGAAGCTCAAGCCATGCCGTGTATGTTTATGTAGCTTCATATTGTCAACTTTTTACTATCTTGCCATACTGCCACGGAGATATAGGGCATCGATAGCTAGATCCGATACTTGTGCTTGAATATACTTTAATATGTTATATATATATCTGTATCTATATCTATATTTATATTTATACCTATATATATCTACATTCCCACGCCATCATTGCGGAGAGATGTACATCAACGTCACCTCACTTGTCGTATTGCAGCGGAGATTGAGGGCATTATCAAGAAGAACCGATACACCTACCTGCACTACCAGTACTATGTGCGTGAGATGCGCATCCGAGCATACAGCCAACTGTTGGAATCGTATCGCAGTGTGACCCTTGCTTCTATCGCCGAGTCCTTCGGTGTCACCGTGGATTTTATTGATAGGTATGCGTACACGCCTATGTATGTCGGTATACGTACTATATATATATATATGTGTGTGTGTGTGTGTGTGCGTACATATACATGTAGATACGTAAGTAAAGTGATGTGACGCTATTGATCTAGTATTACTGCAGAATATGCATTGATAGTTGTTCATGCATGGTACTTTGGGTGTATGCTAATGCACATTGTTGCGCACATGTACATCTGAGAGGCTGTTGGTTCGTTGTCTTGTGTATGGCGTTGCTTAGCCCTCACACTCGTATACGCAGATAGGCCTGCGCGTGTAGGGAGTTCTACGTCTGTGCTCGTATGTAGATGGAAGATACTCACACGTCGCGTGTATGTTCATATACACAATATTATTTACAACATCCCCTATAGACCCAGTATGTCTGTACCGAATTGATACCTAGGTATATATATACATTAAAAATGTATCAACTTTCTCAGGCATTTCGACCAGGTGGCTGATATTAGCATTGGCTATGCGCCTGTATAGCCAGGCCCGATATATATACAGAAATCTATATGTATCAAAGTGCATATTATATTCGTAGGTATATACCACAATAGAAATATATTCTATTGGATCTATTTATTTTATATTTTTCATATATCTATCTGTGTATATATATATATATATATATACATAGATCTATCTATCTATATATATATATATAGTATGTATGTATGTATGTATGTATGTATTTATGGATGTATGTATGTATTTATGTATGTATGTATGTATATATATCTATATCTACATGATCTCTATCTCCTACTTCTTTGTACCTCAGGGACCTCTCTCGCTTTATCGCCAGTGGCGCGTTGACCTGCAAGATCGACAAGGTGGCCGGTATTGTCGAGACCACACGCCTGCACAATCAGACACAGTCATACAACGAAGTGATCAAGAGTGGTGATGTACTACTCAACCGAGTGCAGAAACTGGGCCGCGTGATCAACTTATAAGTGTACTGCCTGCTGCGCCCGTGGCCTGTGAGGTTAACAGCTAGTTTGGCTGGGGTGTTGAGTGTAGGGGCTTTAGTGGTATAGTGAGTCGTGGCGTGTATGATGAAGTATCTGTATTGCAGGGAATGGCACTGCGGAATAAAGAATAGTACGACTTCGGTACCGAACTGAACTTTGACTGAGACGACCCATGGGACAATTGGAGCTTGGTTCATTTGGTTTATGGCGAGTGAGAAAACATGCATAGACATTTTAGAGATTCAGAGGGTACGCGATTTTCTCTTACTCGCCAATCAGCGCTGAGGTATTGCAGACCCCTAAACCCAAATAAGGAAGTGCGAAATTTAAACCCAAATAAGGGGGTGCGAAGATCTGACAATTGTTTGTTTATGTACGTATCGCCCATGGCCCGAAGTGTACAGTGGAACGGGCATGGGCAAGACTGAAACGAATTCGTCTCTGCCCCTCAATATCAGACAACTTCCCCTTCTCTCCTCCTCCTTCTCCCAGTCCCAATTTTAATTACAGGACAGGGTAGAATACAGAACGCGCCCGTCAGGATGTCCATCACCATAGTACACTATAGACTATACTGCACTTCAATATCAGACAACTTCTCCCTCTCTCCTCCCAGTCCTAATTTCAATTACAGGACAGAGTATAATACAACACACACTCATCAGGATGTCAATCACCATAATACACTATAGACTATACTGCACCTCAATATAAGATTACTTCCCCTTCCACCTCCCAGTCCTAATTTCAATTACAGGACAAGGTATAATACAACACGCTCTCATCAGGATGACCATCACCATAGTACACTATAGACTATACTGCACCTCGATATCAGACAACTT